CCTTTGTTTTAAAAGAGAGTTGTAAAATCTGAAAGTTTTTTTTTCACCTAGCTTAAGTAAATTTCTAAAAGATGGAAAGCTAGGCGAAAAAAAATGTTTCAGATTTTACAACTCTCTTGTCGCGTATTATTTGACAAGTAGTTACTTTAAGTCTTCTCTTAAGGTAACTACTTGTCAAATAAATAATACGCGACAAACTTTTAAAAAAATAAACTTTAACAATAATGCAATGTTTTTTTTAAAGTTTATAATTATAAAATAATTATATTATAAACTTTTTAAGTTTGTCGCGTATTATTTTTTTGAATTATAAATTGACGTTTTTAAAGTGAAGTGTGTAAAATTTAGTTTTTTGTTTCATTTTGCTTGCGATATGTTTTTTTTTTTCACATTCCTTGTGCTTTTTGTTTAGTGTTTTTGCTTGATTACTAAAAAAAACTTTTCAGTGTTCCTAAACACTTATTTCAACTTACTTTTCAAATATATATAGTACCAACATTGATTCAATAAAAAACTAATACTTTAAAACTGCTAACCAATTTATATCAAAATAATTTTAAAATAAAATAAGATACACCGTACACACGAATTTAGAGTTACTGTTTGATGATTGAAACTTGAAAATGTTATGAGAATGATGTTTTAGTTTTCGTTTTTTTTTTTCGGGGGTGGGAGTATAAATCTATTTTTAATTTGGTCCCTGTTGTTGTAAAATTTCTTATTCGACTTTGGAAGTAAGCACCAATCAAAAGATTTTCAACTTAAAAAGACTTAAACTTTAAAAAGTCATTTATGACATATGCTAAAAAAAAAGTGCAGATCAATACACTTCTCTTTTACTTTAATAAACGTTGGCAATATTGTAGACTCTAGAGACTCTAGATACAATTAGTTACGAACGTGCACATCAAATTGATTATTACATACGTCTCTGGTCTTTCTAAAAATATAAACAGCAACAACAAAAAAGTAAAAAAAAAACTGACAAGTTGAACGTTAGTTTTAACTTTTTTTTATGAAATAGATTTAAAAAAAAAATAGAAGACGGAATTTAACGGAAAACTTTTCTTACTCATTTAAAAAAAGTTTTTTTTTCTTTCTTTTTCTGTAAAAAGAAGAGTGTTGTTGATGTTCATTCAGGATTGGTATACGCGCGAGCGTGCGTCTGTGTGTGAATTCTCTCAAGAAGTTTGACAATACTTTTTAAAATAAAAATTTCAGCAATAAGTTTTTGGGGGAGGGGAGATCAATTTTTTTTTTCTTTTTCTAGTGTCATAATGAACGTAGTGTTTCTTCTTCAATACAGTAAATATAAAATTATTCCAATAATTCACTGTGCCGGAGAAACGCCAAAAAAAAAAATCCAAAATTCCGATCATTCGAACTAAAAAAAAGTTTGGTGAATAAGGAAAGCAATAAAAAAAAAAATTGACGAATCATGTATAAAAAACTAAAAACAAAAAGAGTTAATTATTTTCAATTTTCATTGAATGATAATAATAATAATCAATTTCAGGTAGCGTCCGTAGATGAATATTTTCGTATAGGTAGCGCAGATTTTACGAGTAGTACATGAACATTTGCTCAACTCAAAGAGTAGAGAGTAGAGAGTAAGACTGCAAAGCGCCAGTTGATGCGGACACCAGTTAAGTGGCACTGGCAGGCTAGTTTTTTACCATTCGAATCGACAAGAAGCTCATAGTTTCTTGAAAACAAACGTCTAAGTTTAAGTGATTTGATTTTTTTTTAAAGTACAAAAAAACTATTTTTTTTTTGAGGCAACAACACTACAACAATGATATAAGCATCAAAAGTTGTTACTTTTCTTTCAAACTAGTTAAATTTTAGTTATTGCCCGCAGTCTGGTTTCTTTCTTCCTTTTTTTTTCAGTGAGAAAAATTTCCTCTAACCACGCCGGAGGGAGCGAAAGTAAAAACAATAACGCATGTTGATTGCCATGCTGGATGAATTATGGTTACTGCTACTAAACTTCTACCTAGAGAAAATACTTGTTTTTTTTTCGAACTTGCGTGTTTTAAAGATTCATTGCAGCATATGAAGAAAAGCAATTTATTCACTGTCGTTAATCAAACAAAAATACAATATTTCTTTTGTTTAATTTACTTTATTAAATTAGAAAAATTAATTGTTGAAATGAAAGTTTTGTCGGTTTGTAAAAGATCATTAAAGTTGTGTTATATAATCTCAAAAAAGTTTGCTATTTTTGTGTCGCTCTAAATTTTAACTTGTAAAATATTAACCATAAATTATTATTACTAATTTTTAAAAAAAAGTACGCAACTACACGCAACTTTCCCTCCCTCATTTACAATTGCAAACTATAATAAATAATTTTATATTTTTGGTAGAGAGAGAGAGATCACCACTAATAACATACTAATTTCTATAATTTCTCTTTTTACTCCTACTGCGTGTCACGAAGCTAAACATAACTTATTTTCCTGCAACGAGTCAATTCTACCGAGAGCAAGAAAGTTCTTTTGTGGCCTCTTCTCTTTGGAATCAACGTCCTAATTTATTTTATCTTAAGCAAGTAAGAAAGATTTTTTTAAAAAAGTTAAATAAAATAAATAATTATTTCAAATAATCATTTATTTTTGGAAATTAATTATCCAAAACAGGAAAATATGCACAGATTTCATTACACGACAGTAAACTGTAAAAATTACAGTACACTGTTTAAGTTACAACACAATATACCAATGATGATCATATATCTGCATGCATGGAATAAAAAATGCATATTTCCAACACATGCATTTTTTGTTTGCAATTGTGAAACTGAAATTAGTGAAATTAAAAAAAAATAATATGCTTATCATCTGATGCTTCTTATCGGTTTCAGTGCATTTTCTACATTTTGATCAAAGATCATTACTTTTTTTCTTTTTTTAATTAGTAAAAAACTAAACAGAACCGAAACGTAATTAATTTTAATATTGAGTTGTAGGGTCATTTGCAAGCTGTAAAAATTGTTCACACAACCGATATACACAAGTAAAGTATCTTCATTCCTTATCAGTGTTGTTATTTTCTTAATTTTGTTTACAGTGTGTTTTCTCTCTCTCTCTCTGCACTAAAAACACCACAAAAGATAAGAAGATCTATCAACAAACGAATGAGAGTAGAGAGGAAGAAAGTGATTGGTTATTATTTTATTGTTTTTATCGTTGTTATTGTTTTATTTTGTTTAAGTATTCTAGTCGTCAGTGATAAGGTTAAACAACTATACTTGACTACAATCAATGAAAAATATCCTTGAATTAAAAATGAAATGAAAAAAAAACTTTGTTGATAAATAAGACTAAGAGAAAAATAAAGTTTAAAAAGATGACAATTCAGTTTTAAAAGGTTTATTCAACTTTAGAGACGAAGGCTAAGCTAAGATATCAGTTGTAGAAAATTGTATCGATCATAGGAAGATTGTAGCTGTTTGGTAGTAGTACAAATTAAATTGAAATAGGTTTGTTAGAGAGCGAATCAATAAAATTTTAAAATGAACTTAACTAACTCGTAACTTTTAAAGTTAAGTAAGTCTGTAAGTAAAAGCTAATCAATTTATTCGCTCTAACAAAATATTTTAATTCAGACTGTCTTTTAAATTAAAAAACAGACTGTGGATATCTCCGGATGAATTTTTCTTTAATTTTTTCCGAAAGTTTTCCTTTTTTTTTTAAAAACTTAACGCAAACTGAACAGTAACTTAAACAGAAACTTCTTAAACCTAAGTAAAGAAAGATCACGTTATTTTCCTCGTTATTTTGATAATCAGTTTTCGTTCAAAAAGTTAAACTAAAAAGTGGTTGCGTTTACGGTTTACTGACTTTACTGTTTAAGCCTGACTGACCAACTAAAAGCTAAAAAAAAAAAAACATCAACAACACAACAATGTTACATCTGCAATGAAACGTGTTTGTTGGTTATTAATGCAATTGTTCCGACCTCTCAGTTATAGCTTTACAGTTAAGAAGTTCTGGGCCATAAACACCCACACCAAGAGAAATGAGAGTACAGTACGCAATAAGTAACAAATATTTCATCAAGTTCAAACTACGCATAACGCATGTAATTTGCTTGCCACGGAAAAGAAGTTTCATCAACGTCAACCTGGTTACTTGTGTTGTGAATATAGCAAAATATATATACACACAAAATAGCACATATACAATTAGTGAATGAGCCTTAACAAACAGGCACTTACAAACTCTAAGATTTTTATAACCTTCAGTCGCATGTAAATACGTTTCTTTGTTAATGAATAGTCACAAGTTTCACCAGCCCAGCACTTTGTGGTAGCAAAACAAACCGAGACTTTACAGTCTTCAGGCCTATGCATTACCACTGAGCTTGCTAGTTGTTATTGGCCAGGGCATCGTCAGACACGATGACGCGGCGCGACGAACACCACGTGATTAGTTCTTGATGAAATAACGAGGGCAGAGGGGGAAGTACCAGCCGTGACGTCAGTTCCACGTTGTTGCCCAGTAGCTGTATATAAAGAGCGAGCACACGCTGCTCTGATCGTCATTCGAGTGCTTGGCTATGAAAATGGATAGGTAGTGAATAAGAAAGAGTGTGCCGCCCAAATTTAGGGGAAGTCCTACTTCCAGCAAGTTAGCTGAGGGTGAGCAGAAGTTAGTGTTATTTTTTTGGGGTGTCGTGAGCGTTAAAATCGGGAGCATTTACGCAGAAAGTAGGGAGGGCCAATATTTTTTTTATCTTGATATATACATATACACTCACATATACTTATATATATATATGTATATTATTTGTGCGCGTATATATATATTAAAGAAAAAATTGAGTGAAATCTAAAAGAAAAAACAGGGACCAATTTCATTTTACTCCTGTTTTTTTTCCTTCCTTGCTACGTGATTCACAAATTGGATATTTTTGTTGTCATCTGTAATTCGAAAGAGCAGTTTTTCCACAATATTTGACAGGTTTATCTACCTATTTTACAGTGAATTTCCACCATGTTAGAGGTAAGCATGTTTTATTTATTTATACTATGATTGTTGTTTATATTTTTTTCCAGAAAAAAATGGTAAATCGTTACCGTTTTTTGAATCCCCGTTGGAGTTTACCATAGAAGAAATTGGATTTTTAATTACCTGGTTTTAAGCATTTATTTATTATTAACCTAAAACTGCAAAAAAAAAAAAAAAAAAAAAAAAATTGTCATTTTCTAATAGAAAATATATAAATACTTGCTTTATAAATTATCACAACGATGTTGTTCTGATGTTGTCTCCTGTTTTAAAATAATATATTTTACATTGTTCCTAGTTCCTTTGTTTGTTATTGTTCTGCAACTTGCAATGTGTATGTTCCCCGCGATTTTACAAAAATGTCAATAATGACATTATAATCGCTATGCTGATCGTCTCTTTAAATTTTAAACTTATGAATTTTATTCGTTTCTGTTTTTTTCTTTTTTTTTTTAATAATCAAAAAAAAAATACATAAAATGATTAACGCTCTTTGTAAAGATTTTTTTAATGTGCAATTATGCAAACAACATCCTTTAAGTAAATGAGACGTTATTGCAATTGAAAGGAAAAGGTAGGAATTTCTGCAGAAGTAAACCGTTACGAAATTAGTATTTGAAGTCACTTCGGAAAATATTGCCAAAAAATCTTCTCTGAAAATAAGTCGTTTCTTTTTCCTTTCTTGCCTCGATCTTTGCAGGAATTTTGTCTTATTTTGTATTTACTATTATCTTTTTTTTTAATCTAGTTTTTTTTGTCTTGATTCTTAGCAGACACTTACATAAACATTTTTATTGGGCTGCTGTAAAAATCTCATCTGTATCTTCTAATTATAATAAAGTCGAAAAAGGGTTTCTAATTTCTATTATGTGCATCCCCTTACTACTAAATTTACTGTTGCAATCTTGTGTAATATGTGTATTTTGCTCCATGAAACAAGGATGATGAAATAATGCGTGTGTGCCTCCCCAAAACCGCATGATCTGCCTCCTCCCCTCTTATTGCTTACTGACCAATCTAACAATATCGTTGGATGTTTCACTATTTTATTTTTTCATCCTACCTAGACTTGTATTACGATCAATGATTTTAATGATCATCGTGAATATTAATTTTATGACTTTAGTTTCACGTTAATATTTAATCCCTGCTTTGTAGCTCATTAATTTGTTGGCACTGACCTTCACCTCATCACAATTCGGTCATCTTTAATCTATGGAAAAGTGTTCGATTTTGTTTACATTTATACTCCTTTCAGCTACACTTTTATTTTTAATATAAATCAATAAATTTAATTCTTTAAATATTCGATAAACTCTTTGAATTTGATTGACTCTTTGGTTCAGTCTTCTTTTATTCTATGTTTATTGTTCATGACTGGTAGAAATTAGGAATCAATATGCTTGCTTGATTCATAGCTTTGTTATTTTGTATTGTATCCACACTTGGTTCACTGTTTTCTTTTCTTGTTTTTATAATCGTTTTCATTCAAACTTCAGCTCTAAATACATTTAACATTTTTTATTTCTAACTTTAAATAATAGTCAGAATTCAGCAATAAGTCGCACACAATAGCACTTTTTTATGTGAAAGTGAAATTTCAAAACTATAACACTTTAAAAAAGAAATAACCATCAGCAAACTGGTTAGACTGAATGTTGATCGATTTTTGCTGTGTTTAATTCGAGACAAAACATCGAACGATCACAAAATAAAATTGTTTATTTTTCATTTGTTGTTTTATTGGACATGCCATTTTGATTGACTTTCTTTACCCAAACTTGGATAAATTAAGTTATCTTTACTTTCATTAGCAAGGTGAGATCTTTTTCTGATACGGTATGTTAGTTGATCACATGTACAAAAACGTAATTTTTGTATCATTTAAATTTGCAGCACGTGGCAAAAACAAACAGTAAACATTAAACAATAATGATAATGAACAATACTTATTTTGACTTGGGCGCCTGCTGTAGAGTGATTGCTTCAATTTTTAATGGTTCGTTAGTAATTTCAATCATTTGGGGTCTTTTATTTTAATATTTATTTACTTTTTTTTAAGTAAATAGATTTAGTTTCAGATGAATTAAAGTTTCGGAAATTCATAATTAAATTTGTAGCCTCAGTTAAAAAAAAAAATCAGGAAAATTAGCATCATTTGAATTTTGCAGAAAAAGACTTAGAAATTGTCAATGAAATCGTGCTGTCGTTATATTCGCTTCTTCTGCTATGATCATCGGCGACAATCCACTTAGGAGATTATAGCCTTTATTGTGGTTGGAGACTAATTCCAGATAATCATAAATCTTGTTACTTCTATTGAATTTGAGACAAATCTTCTCCAGTGATTTGATCGAAAGTAAGAGAAACCCTCTTGTTTGATTATACTCACAAACAAGCTACTCACTCATTCAAATGAATACTTTTATAGTCTCTTTAGTTTTAACACCAAACGAACGGTAATGCTATTTTTCCTTTATAAAAGGTGTAATTTCAGTAACAACTTTATCGGCCTTTACTGTTGTTGGGTAGTCGGAGCAAGATGTTGGTTGGGCCTACCAGCCGCTGTACGTGACTCCTTAGATGCAAATAGGTACTGGAACGGCTTGTATTTTATTTTCTGCCCTTCCCTCTTTCTCGGCTCAAAAAGTCATTGTCGACAAGACCTGGAATGTTGTTTAAAAGGAGTGGAGTAGTATTTATTGGTTGTGTAACACGATGCCAGTCTTACATCTTTTTCTTTCTCTCTCACGTTGTTTTTGTAAGCTAAAACACCGAACACTATCATTATTTTTTTAACCAGCTCTTTTTGCCTCTTTTATCGACTTGCATCTTTCTGCTGCTACACTGACGTTAACGTTCCAGAAGAAACAAGAGCCGCTTCGTTAGTCTCTAGTCTTGTAACTAAAAAAACTTTCCTTAATAATTCATCACTTCGTCTTTACAACTTTTTCCTTTCTCCTGTATAATAATAATAAAAAAATTCAATTTTTCGATTATTTGGATTTTCGATTTTAAAGTTAAAAACCCACCTTTTGACTGAGATTAGGAAAAAGTACGAAAAAGAAACAAATTTGACACATTGTTAACATCTGTAGGCCCAAAAAAACTTTTAAAAAAAACAAAAAAAAACAGATAATGAACAGCAACAATGACTACTTTTTAAAGTAAATATTGTGCATTTTGCCCATTTCACCTTTAAATGCTGTTTTTAAAGAGATCAAGGCGCAAAGAAATCTACTTAAATCGACTGAAAGATTAAAGGAACATTGTTGCGATTGCTGCTTATTTCAATAAAACTTCATGAATGAGTCCATGCGGCGGTTTTTCTCCTTGCGGGGGTGTGGGATTACCCAAGATTGTAGATGACGAAAGTTGGAAACTATTGGTAGTTTCATATTTTGTGGGGAAAATGTAACTGGAGACAACAGGTCATCAGTTTATCCTGTTCAGTTAAGGATATTGCATCAGCTTCTCGTTTGGGAGAGTTTAAAACTTTGTTACTCTGAAGACACATTTACTGATGATACGTTTTTTTTTTTTTTGTTTTTTTTTTTTCAAATATCCAACGTTATTTGTCTCTGCAGCAGGTGAGACTTTATTTTTAAATAGTAATTTAAAAACAATATCTATTCGTAAATAAATACAAAATCTTTTCAATTTTTAAAAATTATTTTATTACGTCTTTATTATTTATTATTGTTTTTAATTTCAGATTGAGTCCCGACCAAAACCGATCAGTTTCAACCAAAGACCAAGCAGCCTTATGTTGGATAACATCGTCAACATGGATGCAGAATTGCTCCATAACAACTTAGTTAACGACAACGATTGCAACGAAAATAATTTAGTCAATAGAACCAACAGTAAAAAGAAGAAAAGGCGAGCAGCAACAATAGCAGCTAAAAATTTTCTAGGTAAATTTCTTATCTTTAATTTTTTTTCTTTTCAAATTTTTTGTTTTGTCGTCATGACGTCTCTGATTTCTGTTGGCCAATTTAAAATTTTCAACTGGCACATGTTCTCCTCCTACGCTTTGGTCGTTTTAAAAGTTGCTTTTAACGTCATCGTTTACTTGTCTTCTGATTTATTTTACTCCATACCACCAATTCTGTTCACTTGATTAAATTTTACTTTGTTTTATCAAGTGTCTAATAATTTAAGTTATTTCCTTAAATGTCGTTTGTGAAATTTAATAAATATTCAAACGTTTCATCTAACTGGCATTGCTGCGTTTGTTTTTTTACATTTAAAATTTTTTTTTATCTAAGATTTATTACTGATACAATAATTGTGGCACAAGACCGAAAAAGGGGGTAGACTGGTCAAAGTTGGTCATCACTAGCTATCTTACCTAGGTAATCGGATTCACGACCCATTCATTTGTTACAATACTCATTCCCCATATCCGTCACCATTCGCTCCTTCATACACCAAAATATCTCTCTCATACACACGGCACCTACTGTGATAATATATTTATTTATTTTATCTTGAAATAAGCATGTACTGACGTAGCCACCAGTTTGCTTGATTCCTCTTCAGTCTTCATGATCTCTTTACTTACCTTGTCATTAAATACCTGTGGATAAAAAAGTAGAAACCTAAAAAAAAAAATTTGATTATAATCTTTTGACATAGAAACAATTTCTATTCATCTTCTTGTGTCAGTTATTCACGTTTTAAATTCAAAGAATATTTTTTACTAAAAAAAAAAATTCCTCTATACTTTTATATTGGTTTGGTTAAACAATGAACCTTTTTGTTTTTTTTAACTAGAGATTGTTCTGAAATTCGTCTGCTGACTTTTCATTTATTTAAAAAGAAAACTCCTTTTTTTGACAATTTGAAAACTTTCCCAGTTCAAAGAATAATTTTTTTAAATATTTTCTTTGGAGCTTTAAAAAACCTACTTGGATTCCTCATTAATTTTCTTACGGTGACGTAACCCGCAAGCTTGGTATCAGTTTTCTGTACATTTCTTGCCCCAACACTTCTGTATTTTTCCTACCGGAACTTTGCTTAACTTCTTTTCAAAACTAGTCTGTAATTTTGAAGTAAATATGATCTTGCCGTAGTAAAAGCGTGGAAATGCGGTAATTTCATATTCAGTGTCACGTCGAGCTGCTACTTTTCTTAAAATAAACTTCACTTTGGCAATTTCTAACTAATCATAGGTTCTTGTTTCTTGAGTAGGTTTGCCTCTTTCGCTCTTTCAATTGCAGAGGTGACTAACTGTTCAGTTTCCTCTAATAATAGAAACTAAAAGCTTACTCTCTCCAACCTAACGGTACCCTCACCTGGTTGTTTAATTCTGACCTACTACATTACTCTTCTCTCACCAATCCAAATTAAAACTTTTCATGTGAATAATTATTACTAAGTCCCGATGCTTATTTAGTTCTAGTAAAGTAAGAAGATGGTTAAAATTTAAGGGGGCAAGTTCGTTAATTTAATAACTCACGCGCACATGAAAAGACAGTAGTAATAGTCAAGCACTCAGGCTGTGCACTATAAGCCTAGTTGTTAAATAGTATGAGCTGAGCAAAGGAAATTCTCTTAGAATAAATAGGCTTGACAGATTTGTAACTAGGTTACTGATAAACTTATTTGACAGCTCTTTTCAAAAGGAAATTTAGAAATATTGTCTCCTCTCTCCAATTTTTTTAACAACTTTGAATTCATTGTTGTTGGTGGTTTAAAGTTTTTACTGTTAACACACGTTTTTATGCTATGACCTCCTTTATTTATTTATATATATATATATATATATATATATATATATATATATATGTGTGTGTGTGTATATGGTCATAGCATATATGGGCAGTTTCTTATCTACATTTGTTCAAACCTACTATTTGACTGACTTAAGCCTGTCATGGTGTGAAGGATTTCATCTTAATTCCAATTTTCTTTTTCTTTTTGCTTTGTAAATACCTTGCTTTTCATGTCTGCTATTTGAAAGGTGTCAATTTAAAGGGATTTCCCTAGTTCTCTCCTATAAACAGTAGTGACAATTTTCTTTTATTTAAAAGTTGCTAAAAAAGAAACTAGGTGGGTAGTGGTCTTCATGTTACTCCTGTTCTTCAAGCTTGTAATTGACTCTACTTAATTTGAATGGTACTTACCTATACTATTGTCTCTGCTTAACTTGCTACTAGCTCCTGTCACTATTAGGTAGTTGATCTGATCTGAATCATGACTTAATCAATTGCCCCACTCTTCCTCCTCTTTAGTCTGTGTCAACTTTCAGACAAGTCTCTATATTTGATTTAAAGTTAGAGTACTATTGGGACTTTTAGCCTCCACCGACTTTACTAATTACTTAATTCCTTTATTACATAACTGACCTGTATATACTCTTACTACTACTCATTTCTTAGCTGGTTTGTTTGAGATTCTAATACTTACATTTTTTTCACTTTTCCTTATATTTCTCTACAAAACCTAATCACTTTACTTATTTATTTTTATAGATTTATATAAAGCAACAGGTGAAGTTCTAGGACAGGGAGCTTATGCCACTGTGCGTACATACGTCCACATTCAGACCAAAAAGGAATATGCTGTAAAGGTATGTTGAGATTTTAAATAAAAAGAAAATTAAAGCAAATGAATTTAAAAAAAATTTTTTTTTTTATCTTTCAACTGTAAAATGTGCTTATTTATTTAAATCTTATTTCAGATTATTGAAAAGAACCATGTGCGATCACGGAATAAAGTATTTAAAGAAATTGAAATCTTTCATCACTGTCAAGGGCATGAGAACATACTTCAGCTTATTGAATATTTTGAGGAGGAGGATCGGTAAGTAGTTGTCTTTACCTATCAATTAAGGTTCTTATTTAGCAGAGAGCTTTAGGTTCTGCTAATATATAAGTATTGAATTTTGACGGGTTAATAGTTGCCTATGAAAATGGCTGTATTTTAACTTTGCAATTGTAAATATACTATTTAGGACAGATTGACAAGATAGATTTGCAAGAGTTAATTTGAGATTTAAGTCTAAGATCTTTCTTAGATGGGGCATTGTATTGATCTGCATTAAATTGAGGATTGCATTTTAGAAAATAGTATTGCCTAAAGTTGATCTGTTACTTCTAAGCAGTATTCAATTTAGTTTAACTTTCTTGATAGTAAAGCATCTGCCAAATTTTAATCTACAAATCAATTTGTATCAAAATAATATAAAGTATTGAATTTCATTCATACAAGCATCTAAAATCTTTGTCAAAAGTTTGATGTTTTGTAAAAATGCATGGTGTAGCAAAAATATATCCTACATAATAGTAAAACATTGTCTAGAAAAAGACACCATTGCCACTAATGTTTTACACATTAGTGGCAATGGTGTCTTTTTCATTATGTGGGAGGTATTTCTACCACACACTGTATTTGCAAGGCAGTTATTTCATTATTTTTAACTAGCAAAATGAATTTGATTTTAAAAATGTATTTCCAGAATTAATTTTTGGTTTATTGATGTTTATTTTACTTGCTTTTCTGTAGGTTCTTCCTTGTGTTCGAAAAAATGGAAGGAGGTGAGTTTTCTTTTAACTAATATGTGCATATCATTATAATTATGCCTAACTAACAGGCAATTTAACTTTTAAACTAATAAATAAAATTTAAGTAATTTTACATAGTGTTACCATAAAAATAGATCTACTCCTTAAATAAGACTTGATGGCTTTTAATAAGCTTTATTTATAATATTCTTTACTGAAGAAAACTTTCTCTTGTCATTTTCAGGTACCTTACTTGCAAATATTGAACGCCGAGGTCACTTAACAGAAAGAGAAGCCAGCATTATTGTTAGAGACATAGCTAATGCCTTAGATCACATCCATAATAAGGGTGAGTAAATTTATTTTACTTCAATTCACTGTGTATTCATTTTTGTGTGTAATTGTTTGCTTCATCCTTTTAAGTGATTATTAAAACATTCAGTTGAGAATGACTTTATGATGGTTTGTCATAAAAACAAGCAACTTGCTTAACATTTACATGCAGACTATGGTTGTCATCTTTGTGATCGCAATGTTTTGGCTGTTGTGCTCACCAACCTTCATCGGGTACTTATTCATCTGGACAACTTTCAGAAAATTTTGTACTGAGCTCCTTATTTAATATTACTCATTCTCCTAACCAAGTCTAGTGTTTATTTAGTACTGTTTAGTTATTGCTCACCCTGTTTCCACACTGTTCAAGGATTGAACTTGCAATTATGCTCTAATTCACTAGATGGTCCTGTGGCACAATCTCAAGTGGAGAACTTTGAGCTTTAAACCTAATCTGTTTATTGGATTGAATAATTTTAATGAATAAAGTTAATCTTGAAAAAGCTAATAGCAGTAATGTTTGCAACAACTAATTTATTCTAGCATGCAATAGTCTTAAAACATTTAATTCTTGTCACATGAAGTAAATGTAACTATTTTTGTTTTCCTTGTCAGGTATTGCACACAGGGACTTGAAGCCTGAGAATATACTGTGTGGAAGAAATGGAGAGGTGAGTGTCAGTTTCAACTTATTTTCATATTAATGACCTTGTTCAGTTTAAAAATCACATAGACTGCTTGTCACTGTATATACTTTTAAATGACTATGCTCAAGTTTTAGTCGTCACAGGATAACTAAAAATTAATTTTATCTGAATAATGTTGAATACTGAAGTGTTAATTCTTTTAAATTTGTTTGTTTTTAATTATATTAGGCAAATATCTGTTTTCATCTTTAATTTACATAAACATCATAAAATAGTTGGTGTCAATATTAAATAACTTCTTTTTTTTTTCTTTTTATAAATAGCTTGTCCCGATCAAAATTTGTGATTTTGACCTTGGTAGTGGGATTCCAGTTCACAGTGAGGAATCTGATCCTGTTACTACACCTGAACTGCAAACTCCCGTGGGTTCTGCTGAGTATATGGCCCCGGAGGTTGTAGATGCTTGGGTGGGAGAAGCATTTTCTTACGACAAAAAGTGCGACTTGTGGAGCCTGGGTATTATTCTGTACATCATGTTGTGTGGTTATCCTCCTTTCTATGGCCAGTGTGGGGAGGACTGTGGATGGGAGCGTGGAGAGACTTGTCACAACTGTCAAGTGAGTTAGTTTATTAACTTCCTAGCAATTACCATAGATTCCAAATAATGCTACTTGGTGGGGAACAAAAGTTACTTTCACTATTTGCTGTATGTAGTTATCCCACAGTTAATTAGAAAAGATAATTTTTAACTAAAATAAGTTTTCTAGAGATTTCTTGTGTATTAAAAGCAATTGTTAGTAGAAAAAAAACTTGTGATTCCTTATTTAAACTTTTTATTTGTTGGAATGACTTTTGATGCTTTAAAATCTGTGCAAATTTGATAATGGCACTGTTTTACTTTCTATTTAATGTGAATAGACAATGTTTGACATGGGTATAAAGGAGCTATATCAATAAGTTCATAGCCAAATGAAGAAAACACTTATTTTAAGCAAAAAATAATTCTTTCAGTATAATCTCCTTTGTACTTAATACTTCATTGATCACATAGCACAAACAATTTACAGTGAAAATTTCAGCTAAAAATTCAATTAATGTCATTGTATGAACTTATTGATCCAGCTTTGAAAATATGGCTACTTATTTACCTTAGCAACTGTGGAAATCATTTTCATTTTAAATTAAAAAGAAAAAAAGAGATTATATACTTAAACTAAATGACAATTTCTGAATGCTGAATTTTAAATCTGAAAATTGTGAATTCATTGTGAAGCATTTAACATTTCTCAAATAGGATATCATAAGGTTATTAACTTTTTTTTAATTCAACTGCATCATTTTACTGTTGGGCTACTTTGTTTAGCATTATGGTTTATAATCCCATCTGCAGTATTTTAAATGCTTTAAATAATGAAACTGTCTCTTCATAATTTTAATGTGCTGTTATAAAGACAATGTATCTTAGCAGGTTACAGATTAAATGAGCTATATTTGTCATTGCCAAAACTGTAGACAAAACTTATTTATTTATTTTTTTTTTTTTTTTTTTTTAACTGCCTCTCTGACGACTTCTACAATATCTTTTTGTAATATTGCAAATCTCCGTTTCTGTAAGGATTATTTTTTTTTTTTTCTTGCAGGAAAGCCTTTTCACTCGTATCAAAGAGGGCATTTATGACTTCCCTGAGAGTGAATGGTGCAACATTTCTGATGAGGCCAAGGACCTCATCAAACATCTCCTGGTACGAGATGCACGGTCACGCTACTCGGCTCTAGATGTACTGCGTGATCCTTGGGTTGTACAGCCTCCTGCCGCTACGCCGCTGGCTACACCTCGTATACTCACCAGGTAAGAAGCATCAAGTTAAATTATTACACATATTTGTATAATGTTCACTTACTCTAACATCAGTGATAAGAGTAACACTTCTGTCTCTATGTAGAGAACTCGATTTTAAAGTATGTGTAATAATTCAGATAGCATGATGTAAGCAAATTCTGAAAAATAGTTTCCCAATTTAAAATTTGTTGGTAATTATAATTTATACAGCAAAAATAAAGCTGTTTAGACATCATCTTTATCACTGATTGAGTCATGTCATCTGATTCAATAAAAGAACCTTTTTGTTGACTTTAAATTGCTTTTTCCTCTTTAGGAATAACAGTACCAAAGATCTGGAATCTTTTGCTGAGACGGCCATTTCAATCAACCGCATGATGCAACAACACCTGGCCATCTCTGAGCAGAGGACCAGAGGTTTCGGCAAGTATCAAAGTACTGACAGTTCCAGTGTAAAGTTCATCCTTTCTCCACCTGGCTCCTCCAGTCTCGCTCGACGACGAGCCGCTTCCTCCAGCGGAAAGTCTCACTCCTCAGATGACTATGCAGACAGTGCCAATGGCTCTCTGGGAAGTTCGTTTTCATATGAGAACATGTATGGAAGCTCATTTTCATCAAGTGCTGCCCTCAGTCCTTGAGTTTTATCCATCCATTACAAAAACTACCAAGACTCTTCATCCACTGACAACACAATTTTCATCCATTCACTATTTTCTATTTGATACTTTCTACTGTTGAACATTTTTTTTTTTTTCTTTACTACATACACAATGTAACCTCCCAGTCCCCTTAAGATTTAAGGTCCCTTTCTCATTTGTAATCCCTGTCCCGGTTATTTCCTGACAAAGAGAATGTGTTCATGAAATGAATGTCTGGTTGTGTATGTTAAAAAGAAAAAAAAAGCTATAAAATTTTGTACTCCTGGCTGTGTATGTCCTAGAAAAAGGCAATGTAAATTTAAGGCAATCTGTTAGATTACATTTTTGCATTTTATTTTATCAATAGTTAAAAATTATGTCCCCACCCCCTTTCAACCTCATACCCGCTTTTCTTAACACTTCCTACTTTCACCTACCCCTATACCCTACCCAAATAACAAACTGATTTAAATACAGTTTAGATTTGAATCTTAGATCCTGGCTTTTTCTTGACTTCAGTATCGTCCATTTCCTTCCTCACAAAGATGAGTGCAGTTTAATCTCTGAAAGTCCAAATCACAAACTCAAGGAAGGAAAAAAAAAAAAAAAACTCTGAAAATGTTGAGAAAAGAATCTGATGAATTCTAACGTAGTGTATTAGAAAAGGTAGTACCAAGGAAAACTTGCTTTTAAGTTCTTAAATTTGTGGATGAAGATGATCTTCTTGCAGTGATTTGTCTACAAATTGCAGAAATGCTTTCTGCTTATTTTTTGTTTTCATATTTTATTGTAATTCTTTCCTTACTTCTGTTGGACATTGGAGAATTAATGAATATATTGTACAAATAGATCTTGTATCAAAAAACAGAAGTTTTTTTTTTTTTTCTTTGTATCTTTTAGAAGCAAGATCCCTTTAATTCATCAGTATCTAAAATCTCATTTGTCAGTCACGAAAGATAATGAAAACCTTTCTTTAAAGAGTTGTGATAATTTAAGGATAAAAGGATACTTTTTTTTTTTCCATCAAACATTTTACTTTAAGCTGATTTACACATGTGACAATAACTTTTTATATATAAATGACAACATTGCTGACCTTTTTTCTTTAAATTGGTATGAAAAAAAAACCAAACCCTCTTCCAGAATCCAAGGCTGGCTAATTGATTTCATGTTATGAATGTGACTCCATTATTCTGATTCCATCCTTTTTGTTCATGCCACATGATAGACTTATCATTCCAGTATTCATTCTTCCATGAACTGTCAGTGTTTTGAAAAGGTTAAATCTTGTTAATGCGCCTTGAATTCAAGATGATTGTCGTAACAGGGAACATGAAAAAAACTGACAACCTCATCACTTTTTAAAGAAAATTTTTATAAAAAATACTTAAAAATCCCACAAAATGTGCCCTTGTGAATTGGTGCAGTTTATTATTTTTACTTCTTTTTTATACATGGCTACTTTGTATGATTCGATACTGAAGGTATGACTGCTTCTGTGAAGCGAAGTAATATTTAAAAATAAAACTTAAAAAACAAAAACTTAAAAAAAAAAAAACCTTGACAACGTGGCTGCGTGTGTTGTGCCTGACACGTCACTGATGCACACACACGATTTTGCTGTGATACAACATAAAGACAAATAGCTGAGAGAATCAGTGCTGTTGTGAGGGACAATTTTTTATTTTTTTAATCTTGAAAGAAAAATGTTGAAAAAGCCCAAAAATATATACAAAACAAAAGGGGATTTTGACAGAAAGTGGAACAAGACCTCGGAAGAGGTTGTTCCTTAATGATCTCAGGAAATAAAAAAAAAAAAAAAAAATTCTTGTCTTTGTTTATTTTTACTTTATTTTTATTTTTATTTTTTATTTTATTTGCAGATTAAAATTGGCAATATATTTTCAGCTTGCAATCTTTAATACTTATGAGGGGATGCTGAAAAGTTCTTGGTTTGCCCAACTTCTTAAAATCATACCAAATGACTAAATCTGTGCATTTCTTAAGAGCTCTTTGGTCAGGCTAAGAACTTTACGCACACTGTACTTAAAAGTAAATTAAAGGGATTTTTTTTTTTTTTACTTTATATAAGTTATATAAAATTAATTTTTCATCTATTGAATTGGTTTCTGCTTCTCATAGGATTTCTTGAGTAATAATTAAGTTTTAACTTAAAGTTTATATAACATCTATATATTCAAATACTTGATGTAGCTAATATATACATATTTCAATCACTTTGTAGTTTTGCTTACTGATCTCTAGGGAGATACTTATATAACATCTTAAGAAACTTCTGTACCATATACATTAAAATATAGCATCTGATAAGCATAATTTGTCCTAAAAAGAATGAAAATCTGTTAATAAGGTTTTTAATTATTATCTTAAGCATAAATAACTGAAGAAAGTGATAGTTTATCTGTTTTTCATTATATACAATATATATTATATTCCATAACTTCTTTTTTCTTTTTTTGTGTTTAACTTTTCAAAATAATAGCTATAACCCATGAATGACAATTTTTGATAAAATATCTTGACACTTGAGTTTGATATTTATTTTTGTTTATATATAATTAAGTTCGTCACTTAGCCGATTATTGTTACCTTCAGCATCCCAACTCCAGAGTTTTGTAGACATACCCATCCGTTCACTCTTCGGTGGGGTATCAGATACATGTGTTAAATTCCAGTGATTAGTTTTATTTTGTGGTTTTATTGCTGATTATAAATACTTTGCTACATCTGAATGAGATAAAGTTGCTTATGACAGTCAAAGGTTAATATTCTTAATAGGTTACAGTACTTAGTTTCATATTTGTTTTTTCATAAGTGGACAAAAATAAAAGCTCCTGCCATCTGTCTTAAATTAGAAAAAAAAAATGCATATATCACTGGTAGAGAATCAAATAGCAAGTCCAGCTTATACTGAAAATCTCAAAGAAAAACTTGATTTTCAAACCAAGTCTTATACAGGATGTGGCAGAAATAACTAATATAATGGTAAGACAGCTATAGGAAGACACTATTGTCATTAATGTATTACCATTATGTGGGAGGTATTTCTGCTGCAACCTATACTTGTAAAATTCATGTTCTTAGAAAAAAAAAATACTGGATATTCTATCAATCTAAAAGATACTTGATATTAAAATCTCTAAAATGGAAAGATTTGAAGATAAGTTTTTTTTTTTTTTAACTCTTCCATATATCTGAAATCCATTCCAACTGTTTGGAAAGATTCATTATGGTATAAATGAAGAAATTTGTCAAGAAACCAATACATATCCTTTTCGTTTTGTTTATTTAATAGGATTTTAAAATTTGTCAGCACTTGATTACATAGCTAGTGACTATGCAGGTAAGTCACTAGGAAATATTGTGGCAGGAATCCGCTGTATCCATGAACAAATAGTGACACTCCAGTCTTTCATCCCAAAGTCAGTCATCAGTATTTTGAGATAAATCACCAGCTCCACAGAAAACCAACAATTTTTGTGGTATATCATACAATAAAATGTAGAATTTATATACAGACCCTTTTGATCAAGTAGATCTGAAGCAGAAAGTGAATTCCCTTAACATGTATTTTAAGTTTCAATTAATATTTGAAAACAATTTGAGATTCTCTAGTTAATGTACCTATCTTCCTACAGAAAGGAATCACATGCACAAAATGTATTAAAGCTTTCTGTACTTGGAAAATTCCTTTCTTTTCACTTGTTTTTCTCTACTTTTGTTACTGACTCTATTCCATGTTCATATCTTTACTCTATCCCCCTCTCCCTTTCTATGATTTTGTTGGGCAGGAATGAACAGAAGTTGATACCTGAATGTAACTTTTCAGAGTACAGATATTACACTGAGGCAAGAAGTTGGGAAATGACATCTTTGTCCGAGGCAGAACACACACACACACACACACAGTAGCCATAAATAATCCAGTAATTTTTTTTTTATGTACTATATTAGTTTCCATTATTAAAGGAAAAACATTTGACAACTTGATACACTATTATATTAAATGCAGTTAGGTTTAAGTAAAGATTTGATCTTATCAAATAGGCAACATTAGTTGTATTATCAATAAGGAATAACTTTTTTTTTTTTTTTTTTTTTTTTGGTAAATGTAATTAACCATTTTTATATTCCATATCATTTTGTCTAGATTTATAATCAACATTATATAATAATTACTGTTGTGCATTTATATCTTTCATGTCACGCTCTATGTAATTTCATTAAGTCATAAGGTCAATCATTTTCTCACATTAGTGTCTATTTACTAACCCCAATGTTTGCTCATGTGTAGCTGTACATAACTATCATCAGAATAAAAAATAACATCAGCATTGAAAATTAAAACAAGGCAATCTTATTTAAAACCATTACAAGAAACAGCAATAAAGGAATTAATTGACTAATCAGTAGCTTCTGTTTAAGCTGTGAGTCCTGAAATTACTTCTGAGATCTGCAACAGATGGATTGATGCCCTTTTTCCATTTCTACCAGTTTGATAGTAAAAGTAAAAACAACCAAGGAATATTGTACAAGAAATGAAATAAGGGAATTGTGTAACCAGCTCACTGGAGGATTCTGCTTAATTGTGAATTCTGAACCTTTATGTAATATAACGAAATACATGCATGTAATTGTTATGTAATATAAAAATATTTTTAAGAAACATAAGGAATGGATTAATTAAATGTTTCATTGACCTCTATTTTCATTGTGAATTCTGGATATATATTTTATTGATCTCAATACATTGTTTCAAAACCTTTGTTTCATTGCATCTCAATATTAAAACTTTCTAACTGCTGCCACCATTTTAGATGACACATGTACAATAGTATTTATCTATCTATCTATAAATTCAACAGTGTCTATCTACCTATGTGTGCATCATATCCCAAAAGAAAAAAAATTAAGCTTCAGCCACTTTAAAAGATTAAATCTGTTGAGGAGTGATGAAACTCAAGATAGCAAAACCTGTC